CAGATATGCTCGTGCTGCTCTTGCGATAGCGGCGTGTTAGGCTCGGTTATCGTTTGCGCCCTCCTGCTAGCGTGCAAAGCTGATACTGTTTCGGCAAGTCGCGCAATCTCCTCACGCATCTCTTGAAGTTCCTTTAGAGGCTGTTGCGCTTGCACGGCAGCCATGGGTGTGGGCGGTGTCATTGCTACCAGTTTGTCAGCAAGTTCGGCGGCTGCGGTTAAATCCTCGTGCTCTGAGGCCGCGATGACCATGCGGACGCCTGACGGCAACTTTTGCAAAAAAAGTTCTCGGAGCAATACTCCATCTATCGTGTTTGATGTTCCGCCAAGCAACTGTTGCATGTGCCGCAAAAGCTGACTAGGAGTACGGTCGCCGAGTTCCGTTCCCCGAAGCAATTGCTGCAGTCGTTGTGGTTCGGAGGGCGTAACTCGGCGAGTAAGGGTTTCTTTTAGCGTTGCATATGCGTTTTCGACAGGTGGTGCGAGCAACAGATCCCTGATTTCACTGGCTACGGCAGGCGGCAGACTGCTGACTACGTAATGGTGTTTCGTAAGGTCTGCGGTGATTCGTCTGGCTGCGAACTGAGATTCCACTTGTATGAACCAAAGTGCGGGGTCCACAGTCCAAAAAGGGGGCAGCTTACCGTCGACTGAGGAGACTGTTGGAGGGGCGTCGGTCGTGGACGTTGAATCCATATTGCGGCTGGTTCGACACTCCGGTCGCTGTGTCTGTATTCCGAGTCCGGGTCACCCATGTTGAGACGCGTCGCTCGGCAGAGCTGCGCAAGTGAACAACTCGCATCCCAAACAAGAACTGACTTTTATTATCACCCTTCCTCTCGAAGATAACTTTCTCGTGCGGGCGCATGCGCTCTCTGCACCGCACACAGAAGCACCGCTTTGCGTCGCCACAAAGCCAATCAATGAGCTAGCACTGAGAGGGAAAGTACAGGAATTAAGAGTCTCGCTTCAGAACAGGTTTGATTGATTGATATGTGGGGTTTAACGTCCCAAAACCACTATATGATTATGAGAGACGCCGTAGTGGAGGGCTCTGGAAATTTCGATCACCTAAGGTTCTTTAACGTGCACCCAAATCTGAGTACACGGGCCTACATCATTTCCGCCTCCATCGGAAATGCAGCTGCCGCGCATCTGAGATTCGATCCCGCAACCTGCGGGTCAGCAGCCGAGTACCTTAGCCACTAGACCACCGCGGCGGGGCGCTTCAGAACAGGTACTCGGCTCTTAGTGAGGAAACCAACCTTAGCATAGATACAATGAATGATAATCTGACGAGTATCATTACGGAGTGTGCAGTGGAAGTTGGAGGCAGGGTAGTTAGACAGGACACTGGCAAGCTTACCCAGCAAATGAAGAATCTCATTAAAAAGAGTCAAATCATGAAAGTCTCAAGTACAACAGACAAAATAGAACTGGCAGAGCTTTCGAAGTTGATTACTAGGTGTAAGGTATCCGATGTAAGAAGGTATAACATGGAGAGAATTGAACACGATCTGAAAAACGGAGGAAGCACCAAAGCAGTGAAGAGGAAACTTGGGATAGGCAAAAATCGGATGCGTGCACTAAGGAACAAAGAAGGCAAAATAACTACCAATATGGATAGGATAGTTAAAATAGCGGAGGAGTTTTACAGAGATCTGTACAGTAGCCGGGACAACCACGACTTTAATACTATAAGAACTAGCAGTAACCCAGATGACACCCCCCCAGTAATGATAGAAGAAGTCAGAAAAGCTTTGGAGAGCATGAAAAGAGGCAAAACCGCTGGTGAGGATCAGGTAACATCAGATCTGCTGAAAGATGGAGGACAGATTGTGTTAGAAAAACTAGCCACCCTGTTGACGAGGTATCTCCTGACAGGAAGAGTACCAGAGTCTTGGAAGAACGCTAACATCATCTTAATACATAAGAAAGGAGATGACAAGCACTTGAAGAATTACAGGCCGATTAGCTTGCTCTCTTTAGTATACAAGCTATTTACAAAGGTAATTGCTAACAGAGTAAAGAAAACATTAGAATTCAATCAACCAAAGGAACAAGCAGGATTTCGAACAGGCTACTCAACAATCGACCACATTTATACTAACAATCAGGTAATAGAGAAATGCTCAGAATATAACCAACCACAATACATAGCCTTCATAGATTACGAGAAGGCGTTTGATTCCGTAGAAATATCAGCCGTCATATAGACACTGCGGAATCAGGGCGTCGATAAAGTATATATAAACATCCTGGAAGAAATCTACAGGGGATAAACTGCTACCATAGTGCTTCATAAGGAAAGCAACAGAATACCAATCAAGAAGGGTGTAAGGCAGGGGGACACAATCTCCCCCATGCTATTTACCGCGTGCTTACAGGAGGTTTTCAGAAGCCTAGAATGGGAACAGTTATGGATAAGAGTTAATGAAGTGTACTTGAGTAACCTGCGCTTCGCCGATGACGTTGCATTGCTGAGTAACTCAGGGGACGAATTGCAACTCATGATTACGGAGTTAGACAAGGAGAGCAGAAAGGTGTGTCTTAAAATGAATCAGCAGAAAACGAAAGTAATGTACAACAACCTCGGAAAAGAGCAGCGCTTTGAGATAGGTAATAGTGCACTTCAAGTTGTAAAAGACTATGTCTACCTAGGGCAGGTAATAACCACGGAGCCGAACCACAAGAGTGAAGTAACTAGAAGAATAAGAATGGGGTGGAGCACATTTGGCAAGCACTCTCAAATCATGACAGGTAGATTGCCACTATCCCTCAAGAGAAAGGTATATAACAGCTGTCTCTTGCCGGTACTTAGCTACGAAGCAGAAACCTGGAGACTTACAAAGAGGGTTCAGCTTAAATTGAGGACGACGCAGCAAGCAATGGAAAGAAAAATGGTAGGTGTAACCTTAAGAGACAAGAAGAGAGCAGAGTGGATTAGGGAACAAATGGGGGTTAAAGATATCATAGCTGAAATCAACAAGAAGAAATGGACATGGGCCGAGCATGTAGCGCGTAGACAGGATAACCGCTGGTCGTTAAGGGTAACTAACTGGATTCCCAGAAAAGGCAAGCGGGTTAGGGGGAGACAGAAAGTTAGGTGGGCAGATGAGATTAAGAAGTTTGCGGGTATAAATTGGCACAAGCAAGCACAGGACCGGGTTAACTTGCGGAACTTGGGAGAGGCCTTTGTCCTGCAGTGGACGTAGTCAGGCTGATGATGATGATGATGATGATGATGATGAGGGAGAGCCGGCAGGGAAGGGACGTGCAGGCATGTATTGGGGCTGGAAGTCGGTGCGGGGAGGCGGTGAAATAGGGTGAATTCCCAAGCTGGCAATTTCCTGCCGGACGACTGCATGAATGAGGGGCAACGTAACTGGAGAAGGATCAGTGAACATTGGTCCAACATTAGCTGGAGCAGCCACTTCAAATTCTCGCCTGACGAGTCGCGTCAAGTTGTCACAGGTGTCTGGTAGATGATATGTGTCCAGACACGAGGACGTCGCAGCAGTGTTCGGAAGGCGCTGGAACTGATGGGAGATGCGCCTGCTTTTAGCTTGTTGGAACCGGCGGCGTTCTTGAATAATCGTATCAACAGATGACACATTGTTGAATACCAACAAGTTGAACACATCGTCGATGATACCCTTTAGGATATGCGCAACTTTTCCAGGCTCGGGCATGTTTTCGTCAGCTTGGCGGCATAGTGAGAGGACAGCTTGAATGTAATCGATGTAATTGATTGATATGTGGGGTTTAACGTCCCAAAACCACTATATGATTATGAGAGACGCCGTAGTGGAGGGCTCCAGAAATTTAGACCACCTGGGGTTCTTTAACGTGCACCCAAATCTGAGCACACAGGCCTACAACATTTCCGCCTCCATCGGAAATGCAGCCGCCGCAGCCGGGATTCGAACCCGCGCCCTGCAGGTCAGCAGCCGAGTACCTTAGCCACTAGACCACCGCGGCGGGGCATGTAATCGATGTAGGGCTCCGTGGAAGATTGTGCGCGAGTTGACAACTCATTTTTCGCAGCTTCACGACCACCAGAGGTGTTGCCAAAAAGCTCATGATCTTTTCCTTGAAGCTGTCCCAGCTTGTTATGTCATGCTCGTGGTTGTCAAACCAAACACGAGGGGTTCCGTTGAGATAAAAGACGACGTTTGTGAGCATAGGAGTGGGATCCCACCTGTAAGTGGTGCTGACGTGTTCGTAGAGGCGTAGCCACTTGTCGACGTCGGAACCCTCGCAGCCCGAGAACACGCCAGGGTCTTTGAAGGCGGGAGGCGTCACGAAAGTTGTTGTGGGAGCTGGGTTGACAGGCCGGGCAGAAGGGCGGGCGACTGGGGAGGATGTAGCCGAGTCTTGAGTGGTCATGTTGAATGTCGCGAGAGAGCATCCGCTTCGGAGTTCCGTGGCGAGGACGGGGATCGCACAACTCCACCAAATATGTTACAAGAAGAAGACCGACTCGGAGGGGTAGTCGCGGATGTATTTTCAGCCGGTTAAGTGAGCAGCGCCAGCCCCACAGATTAGCTCGCGCCAGTCTATAGCTTTTCTTCTTCATCTTAATGCAATGGCACGTAGCAATATAATTACAACACTGTCACCTTCTCTCCGTATAACCCAACGTGCATGGTAACTGCTGACGTTTTTGCTTTTATTGTCCCTTTAACGTGCACCTAAGTACAAGTACACAGGCCTCTAGCATTTTCGCCCCATTCATAAATGCGGCTGCCGTGGCCTGGATTCGTTCTCGTGGTCTGCAAGTCAGCAGCGAAGCACCATAGCCACTAGAACCACCGAGGCAGGTCCCACTGTTGTGCAGCCAAATTTCGAAAGCTCGTTTTCAGTCTCACCCCACCATAAGTAACAGAAAGAGTAGTGTGGGCAATGTAATGCAAGCCTTGCATGCAATAAGGGAAACAGTAAGGAAACGATGGTAGTGCAGAGAAGTGATCAAGCAAAGGCTTTGAACAACACGCTCACCATGGCAATGATGGCCTTGATCGCATCTGCCGTAGCCTTGTCACCACTAGGCTCCTCAACCAAGGTGCTGCCCAGGTACTTGGCATAGAAGGTGATGCCCTCCACCACCGGCTGCTGGATGTTCACCCATTCCTCAGACAGCTCTGCAAGATGCGTGCACGCACAGAATAAGCGAGTGTAACAGCCAACTTGATACGTGTTCGTACAACAAGGTCACAACAGCTGAAAAACATCGACTGCACTGTTTTGATGTACTTAGAAACAAAAAATTACGGCAGGAGGTATCACATGTGACATGACAAAGCTGGAAAAGGCAGAAGTACAGGGCAAGATGCAAGTTTGAATACACGAAAAATTCTTGAGCACGGGACATCGTTGGAGCCAACACACCAACAAGTCTGCTTGTCGAGACGTCTGCCTCAGAACACATCCCGTGCCCACGAATTTTTCTTCTCGCAAAAAACCTGGCACTATTAAACACCTCTGAATACTTACTTAAACTACAAAACTATCCAATAGACCAGAATAACATCTTCCTCTTCTCAGCTTAAAGTCAATCTCCATCAAACATGTTTGTTTTCTCATTTTTTATAAAGGCAAAAGCTGCAAACACAGCCACTATGCTGCAATTACCTGTGGCAAGGCCTCATCAAGCATCAAGCACTCTAAGCTTGAGAGACTTATCTTCCACACGGTCATAAATGGCAGGTTGACCCCCTTAACAAAACTTGCTGTTTTCCAATGCGCTGTTGTTCATGCCGTGCTTGATAACGTTCTTATTTGCAGCTCTTCTAGAGCCGATGCTTTTACTGCAGAATGAAATTAAACTAAATCAGATCAACGACACCCTAGACAGTTTATTTAGCTTGCAGTGGAAACATCCTTCTTACCATCTCCAGATTATTTGTGAAGTTCGACGTATCTCTGCACAATTCCAATGCTAAGGAAAACCACGCTTCCAACTGACTGCCTTGATGTCAAGCCTCTAGAAACAATTCAAGAATTGGAATCGACACTCCATGATGATGATATATGGTGTTAATTGACGCAAGGGCTATGTGATGGCCAAACAGCACCATGAACTATGATGACCGAAAAGCAATGATACGCTATTGATGTGATATGAACAGGATACGAACAATGATAATGTTGCACGGCTGTAAAGGGGCCTAAAATTCCACGCCTGGAGGCGGGTTAAACCTCAAAAATATTTAAATCATGGCGGTGACGTGAAACATGTGGCGCTGGAATAAATGGCAGTGTTTGTGGTGAGGCGCGCCGCAGCCAAGACCTCTGTAGAGGGGCGAGCTACGGATCACTTTGGTCTATGAGGTGAAAACTATGTACATTTTTTTTTAATGTAAAAAGTGACTCAAGTTCCAAGTGGCTTTTGAAAAGAGGAAAAAGGAAAGAAAAAAGCGCAGTCCCGTTACTGCCTCTCTTAATCGAGGGCACCGCCACAGTTATGCGCAGGGAAGGGGGGAATGGGAATTAAAGACAGAAAAGAAGAGGTAGGAGAAGGGTAGTGAAAAGCATTCGCACCGCATCACATAACGTGCGTCCAAAACCGCTGCGATGATCCGCAACCATCAGGAAAAACCGCCAAGAAGGCCGGAGAAATAATTCACCTAAAAAGAAGAGGATGAGCCTAAGAGGCGCATAAAATGATGGGGGAACACACTCACATGACCACAAAGCGCAAGCATGAGAGAGTAAAGAAAAAAAAAAGGCCGAATGATTACGGTTCAACGAGAAAAAAAAAATCAGTTGAACGCACTGATGGGAGATACGCGCGTGGGCCTGTAGCTCAGGGACGAAAGAGGGGAAAAGAAAAGAAACATTGTTCCAGTTCAACGAGAAGGAAAAAAAAACTGTTGAACTTACAGATTAGTGTCCTATTGACCTTGGTGAAATAATCCAGTGGGGGCACAGTACACTGGCAAGGGCGGATAGCCCGAACACGAGAGAGAAGGAAAAAAAAAGAGTTCAGTTGAGCAAGAAAAAAAGGAGGGGAAAAAAAGAAAAGAAAAAGGAAATAATGTTTAGCTGAACACACAGATGAGAGTTCCGAGGAACTCGATGTGTGTTCAAAAAGCAGATCTCTACTGATGAAGGGTTAGCCCGGTAGGCATGACCGCAGGCCCCAGTATGAGCCGCCTCGTTTCCCTGCAGCCCTTCGTGCCCAGGAACCTTCTCGAAATGTGGGAGGCCAAGCTCGCTTTGGAGGACCTGAACCAACAACGACGTCTCATCACCAGAACCAAGGAGGCAGCGAAGGCCAGACAGAGGGTTCTTCCTCCCACCTAAGGTGGATGCGGAACCTACACCGCTACACCGTTTCGAAAAATTAACGTTGAGCATGACAGGATGTAGTGGTAGCTGCTGTCGGTAGGGCAATAAAAAGTGTTTTTTTCCTTAATTCGTCTAAATCGCTACACTGAACTAGGATGTGGAGCAAGGTAAGTGGATCTCCACACTTCTCACAGATGGGTTGATCATCGCCAGACAAAAGGTATGAATGTGTAGAGTGTGTGTGTCCTGTCTGCCGCCTTGTAAGTGCAACTTGTGTGTAGCGTGTTCTGGACACTGGTGGCCAACTTCCAAGTATCGATTTATTAACATGTAGTTTGTTGTCTGTTTGCCTATTCCATAGGCACTGCCAGCACGCTCTGAGCTCCCGTCGTAAGAAAGGTTTCATTTCAATCGAAGGGACGGCCATGGGTGTATTGGCGGGTGCGTGGTCGTGCGCGGACGCGGCTAGCTAGTTTGCTGCCTCGTTTCCTGCGATCTCACAGTGCCCTGGCACCCAGCACACAACAACATGTCGTTTGAGGGTGTAGATACTGCATAAAAGATAGTAAAGCAACACAAGTACAGGATTTTTATGTTTTTTGAGTGTTTTCAAAGCTGTCACGACACTCAGAGAGTCCGTATACACAACCGCGCGTTATAATTCCTTAATATGCCTGACAGCCACAGATGCTGCATGGGCTCTGCGGTGAAAATGCTTGTTTGAGGGTGCAGAATATTGTAATTTGAAAAAGATGGGCCAACAGCTTCATAGGACACGCCAGTGTGAGACTTAGAAGCATCTGTAAAAACTTCATGGGCAAGTATACTGGTATTAGAGTTCGAGGAAGTGCATGCGTATATGTGCGGTAGGTGCATGTTTAGTGACTTCCACGAAAGATAGATCGCAGTCTATAACCTGCCATTTCCACGGTGGCAGATATACTGCGAGCCATCGACCAGTCTTCTACAAGTGGCACGGCTGTTTCCTCAGCGAGTCTCCTGACCCGGAGTGAGTAGGGCTGTCTCAGCAAAAGACGGTTATGGAATAAAGTAGAATGAGACAGATCATTAATTGTGGATGGAGTGGGATGTTTCACGTCTGCGTTCACCCTGAGATAATATGTAAAAGACGCATAGCATCTCTGCAGATGGAGTGACCATTCATTTGACTCTGCATACAGGCTTTCTACGGGGCTAAATCGAGAAGCACCCGTAAAAAGGCGAATGCCTAGGCGGTGGACAGGGTCAAGCATCTTTAAAGCTGATGGTGTCGCAGACTGATAGCTGGTAGCACCGTGATCGTGGCTTATAGAAGCACAAGGCTTCTATAGAAATTCATCAGGCATTTCCTGTCACTACCTCACGTAGTGCGTGACAACACTTTCAAAATATTCATTGTTTTTAAGCACCTGTTCTTTAAATACTTGATGTGGGGTATGAAGGTTAGTTTTGTGTCTAATATTACACCCAGAAACTTGTGCTCAGACTACGCAGACAGACATTGACCATGCAGGTCAATCTCGGGATCAGGATGAATGCCCCTGGTCTGGCAGAACAAGACGCACATGCTCTTTTGCGCGTTCAGTTCAAAACCATTCTGATCTGCCCAGTGAGAAACTTTGTTCAAACCTAACTGCACCTGTCGTTCACTTCACATATTGAGAGGTTGCACAATTTAAAACCAACCTGTACATCATCATTATATGTGCAGCAAAACATATTGCGAGGGATAGCGAGGCGCAAGGAGTTCATTTTGATTAAGAGTGTGCAACTCAATACACCTCTTTGCGGCACTCCTGTTTCCTGGATAAATGTTCACGACAAAACAGTGCCTAATCGAACTCAGAATGTGCGATTGGTCAAGTAGCTTTCGATTATGTTCAACATTCCACCCCGAACACCGAAATGTGAAAGGTCCCTAAGTATGCCAAAGCGCCACGTGGTATCATAGGCCTTCTCCATATCAAGAAACACAAAGATGAAAAAACTGATTATGAATGAAGGCATCAAGAATTTGAGCCTCGATACAGACAAGGTGGTCAGTGGTGGACCTAGCCTTTCGAAACCCACACTGGTAAGGGTAAAGTAGGCCATTAGTCTCAAGGAAGTACATAAGTCGCCCGTTTATCATTTTTTTAAAGAACTTGCTAAGACAACTGGTTAATGCTATTGGCCTGTAGCTTGAAACTGAGAACAGGTCCTTGCTTTATTTTAAAATAGTAATAACTATGGCTTCTTTCCAGGTCGAGGGCACCTCTACAGAAAACCGTACAACATTACACAGGCAGAGAAGGGCTTTTTGGGTTTCGATCGGCAGGTGTTTCAGCATTTCATATGATGAGTTTTTTTTTTTTTTTTTTTTTTCTATTCTGACTTTGTATCGTTGAAACCCTGCAGTATAGTGCGACGAGCTGGAAACCTCCTTGAAGTGTGCGGCAATGGAGTTCACCTGGTAAATGTCCAATCACCCGGTCGGTTAAATCCCCAGGAACCCCTTCCCAGGACATGGCTAAGCCACACACGGCTATGCGTGGGAGGGAGTCAAAAACTCCGTTAGCTCGGGTCCGTGGTGACGCTACGCACCAAACGCCTACTTGCGCAGACGCCCCTGCGGGAGGAATCGACACCTCTACAGTACAAATAACGAAAGGCAAAAACTTCCAAGTGTTTTGCAGGCACTGGTTACATAAGGGACAACCCCTCCACTATGCAGAAGTACAATGCATAGCCATGCCTGGAAGTTGCAATGACATACGAGATAAGCAATGCCACAAAGGGTCGAGGAAACTTTTCAAGCTGCTGCCAACCAGAACTACGCTTGCCAACAACAGACGGAAACTGTCAAATTGACTCTTTTAACAGCTGTTGGTATTATACACTACTTTGACATTGTGCATTACAACTGGCATGCTTTACATGCAAGAGAATTAATGTATACAGACATGTCCTAATTACCAGCCTTTCTTACCATCTGCATTTCTTCATTACAGAGTTTGTTACAGGAGCTCTGTGCCCGATGAGTGGAAGCGTTTTGGCAGCCACATTCCAAACATGAAAAATACTCGTACACTGTACTTTGAGGCAACATTAAATTAATCCAGTGGCCTCCGCTGTCACAACTCCCATACTTCATACTTTTTTGGATGCTGAAAGCAATTAAGAAACTAGACTGCTCTATGAGCACACTTCGCGATTTATTTAGATATGTTGTGAAGTATTTTTGCACACAGTACCACTGTGGAAAAATGTGTGCAATATGCCACATAAGAACTAGCACACCGCGGAGCGTTCAACTAACCACACAGTTAGTTCGATTAAATCCATCCACCTTCCAAATGAAAAGACAAAGAAGGCCACGTATTGCTATAGTGGCATTTTATAAATTGATGCGTACATGTTGACATCGACAGATGCAAACGTCCCACAGGTGTTCCTAACCTACAATCACGACCCCAAGCGGGTTTGCTAGATGTCGTCATTAGGAGCGGCTCAACCACCCATTATATTTGCTAGTGCGTCTACACGGAGCCCTTAATACCAATGCAGGCATTCGATCGTGTCATATGTATACATGGCACCCGACCAGATCTTATACGGACCCCTCTGCCAACATTCCCCCGCCTCGCAGAGCGCTCATATTTGGGCCTTCATTTCTTTCTTACTTTATGAGCCGACTTGTTGCGCAGCCGTCCTTCGAAGGCGGCGCGCTCGAGAGATGGTGCGTCCTAGAAGCGCGTCCACTAAACTCTTTCTCGCGTGCGTCCCGTACATCGAGGAACCCGCCTGAAGCTGCGCAACCAGCCTCCGTTGCAGCGTTGCGCCACACTGTGTACTAGCAGCAGCCAGTTCCTGACCGCCGGCCTCCCGCTAAGCGAAATTTAGTTTCTTTTTCGCTTCGTCCCCCGCGCTTGGACGGTCGCTAAGCGCTAACGGTGACCTCGGCCCGTTCGCCAGGAGACGCGCGCCTCGTCCAAAGGAGGCAGTGCTTGTACACACACGGCGCGACAATGCGACACGCACACAAGACACGGCGGATACAAAACAGCTCTTCCAAGGGGCCAGCGGGGTGCCCGTGACAAGCGTCGCGTTCTCAGCGGTCACGACCGCGGCTTCTGCTGCGATCCCGTCTAGCTGACCAGAGCATTACCTAAAATCTCGATCCTTCTATTTTGTTGTTCAATTTCCGCGGAGTGGAAATGCGCAAAATCTCCGCAGGTTGAAATCACACAGAGTAACGGCGAACTGAGTGACATGACGCAACTTGCACGCGCATATTGCGCCTCTCTGGCACGCCCTGCGAAAGAATGCGAAGCGGGAGTCTACGACCGGCGAAAACGCTATTTCTGGGCAACGCAACTTCGACTACAGCGACGCATTTGCATAAACATTCGCGTGACAATCGCTCTGCGCCTCGGTGGTTTGCAAGCGCAACCGAAGATTAGTCACGCGCCAGAGGAGCGCCGGTCGCTGCACCGCGCGCTTGACTGCAGTTTCACCACAAGCGACACCATTTTCTTTGTTTATTTCAAGCTGTGTCCACGACAAAATGAACGTCAACTGATCGCTCAGGCTTGATTGTCACATGCAATTGGAGCGAGGTTCTTTTTGGGCACAAACGACAGAAGGGTCCCGCCCATTCAATCGAATTAAAGGCGGAGGTTTTCAACGAAAAGAAACACGCGGCGGAAACGTGCGGCGTTTTCTCCGCTTAAAGAAAGTATAAACGTGCCGGTTTTCTCGCTCGCGCTGAGGAAAGGAAGCGTGCATAGGAAGCACGCCGTTTCGAGAGACACTCGCGGCAGTTACAGCAGGGAACGACGGAAAAAATGTCGCGACTCACTTTTATGTCGAAGACGACCCAGCAGTCCCATGGGAGAAGACCACACCGATTTCCAGATCGATGTCATGTCGCTGTGTAAAACGACGCACCTTCTTGGAAGACGAGCAGCGGGACGCAGAGTTCCTGCGATAAACAAACGTGAACGGAGGCCGATACACCTGGCCGCGAGCCAGATTTGTTTGAGTCCGCTCAAGGTAGTGCGGGCTTTATTTTTTTCGCTGGTCGCGGTCAGTTCCTGTTCGTAGGCGCCTCGCGGCAATCACAGCGGACGGCGGGGAAACGAGGAGTTCCCGGAATAAAAAAAATGGTGACGATGAGACCGGCGCTACTTCGACGCCGATCCACGCAAGCTGCGGCAACTGCGTCTACATCGGGCGGCAAACTTTACGCCAGTCATGTAATAAACGAGAGGAGAAACGTCGAAAAATATGAAGAAAAAGAAAACAAAAAAAAACGTCGCGTTTAGCTGTTGCTGTCGAGAGCCATACGCCTCAGTTTCGAAGGGCATAAAAGCGAATTCCTTCAAAGTTCGCTCAAGTGCTTCGGTGATCTCATCGTGTGATGAGCGCTGACAGAGACGGGCGCGAGTCACCCGCTAATCTTTGTCCTTAGGACTTTAAAACGACAGCTCGCAGCTGCTACGTGAGCTGACTCGTGCCCAGCCAGTGCTATCTTCATTGTCATCAGTTGTTTTCGCGTCGTCGGCGACGGAAAAACGTAGACAAAGTCGCGTTCTCTCGCATCATCGTTCGAAGGCGGGAACTTTTTATTTTGTTACCGCTGCGTTGCCTCTTGATTGATCCATTAACGCTGCCATCAGGGTAAGTCCAACGAGACTGTGTGTCCGAGAAGACTGACCGCACGCGACGTGTTCAAGGTGGTGTGATTTCGGGGAGATCAGTTTCGGGCCGCCACGATTACGCATAGATTACGATCCATGTAGTGATTCTGGGAACGGAATACTTTCGGCATTGCTGAAGAGCTTGTGCTACCGCATCGCTCGTCCCCCTGTACCTTTTAACCGAGTAGTTGAACGGTTTCGTTATCTGGCCGACGTGTAGCGGCGGACGGTGTCAAGTGGAGGCGTTTAAGCTAGCCCCTAATTGTTTCCACCTACACTTTGTACTTGCATGAAAAGCACTAGCCTTAATTCGCAGAAGGAGCGGTAAGACACCCCTCGAAATAGAAAAAAAAATGTGGCCACGCTTCTGTTGCTGTAGATCGGGAAGTCGCGACATGTGTGATATTTAACCGTGCGACACCTGCTGCCCTCGTTGAAGCCGGGCTCTTTAGTACTGTGTGATTGAGACTGAAGTGCCACAAATGAATACTATACCTGTCACAAATGCACGTTGGAGCGTGCGTCGAAAATCGAACTCACTGTTGACTGAGCGTTAGAGACAATCCAGGGTTCACAAAACTGCCGGGCTCGAGGTTGTAACGCCCTGGTGTGACCCACTCGGGGGTAGATGGTGAAAATTTCGGAATGGGGCCGTGTCTAGAAAAATAATGGTGCCCCCTGTACACTGTCCCCGGAGCGAACAGTGAGTCCACAATTTTTTTTTTACTTGTATGTTATTTTTTCTACAAATATATCCGCACTTCGCAGAGCGCGTTTTCAGTCTTTTGAGCGAAGTTTTCCATGCAACTGTGTAAAGTGTAAAGCCAGCTGTTTAATAGAAAACTGACTTGCAGCTTGTGATGCTGTAAATGAACATCCAGGAGATTAATGCACTGGAAGACATGGGGTTAGGCATTGCTGAATGCCAGTTATAAAATTCTATAACTTAACAAACTTGCCTGTAGGAAAAAATGGGCTTCAAAATCCATTCCACTTCTTTTATTCGTTTCATAGCAGTCGATTGACCTTCATGAGCACTATGCCTTTTCTTTTTCTTCATTCTTTGTTGCTTAGTTAACTTGGATTGGGTGTCTGAAAAATAACGTGGCAATCGCAACACAATCAACTTTTCTTCTACCAACAAACTCTGGGCATGTGACACAATGTGGAACAGTCGAACCATTGCCTTCCCATATCAATAAAGTGCTACTCACAGTAGCAAAAAAGGCTGGAGTCTTGCACGCAGAGATGGAAATGCTAATAGAGCAAGCAGGCTTCGGAAAGGAATGGTGTGGGATCACGTAGGAAGTATGAAGTGGTTGATGGCAACTTTCAGGAATTTAGAAGCCTACTCCAAGCTCTGGATGTGTACTATAAAAATGGATATTCCCAAACATCCCATAATGCACAGGACAAGAAGCGCTGATTAGAGGCACCCTGCAACACTTATTCAGCATGCTCAGAAAATGCTGCCTATCGGTAGTCGAGGTTCCCGAATACACGTGAGCCAAATATTATAGCGCAGCACACAGCCTGGTGTTCGCAAAGTCAGCTAAAATTTGCTTTCTATTGTCTCGACAAATGACGCTACAAGTTCAAAAATCACTCATCACAACCATTGTGTCAGTTATTGGGTGATTTGAGCATGGCGCGCTCAGTCGTTACAAGGGCTGCCATGGGAGGCTAGGACTTATCCACATGTGTGTGTGATTGCTTTGAAAAGCCATGCATACAAAAAAAAAAGAAAGTGCTGAAGGTCACGAGGTGCACGTGACGTATTTTCTTTCCCCGTGCCATCGATCCCTGCTTAACTTGCAGCGCTTTCGTCAGGACGAGAGAAGAAAGAATGCAATTGTAGCATGTGAGAAATCTTTGTGACTCCACTTGTACTGGACGGATTTTCAAAATTTTTACAGCGGTGAATTGGTGAGACTATAAAGCTTATTTAGTCAATTGATTTCATGGCTACTTAAAAAAGTGTTGCGGGGCCCCTTTAAGACAAATGTTCATAACACAAATTGGCCTTTAAAGGGGCCTTCCAAAGTTGTTTGGACTGAAGTACAGACAGAGTAATGCCGCAAGAACGGCACAGCATCCGAAGTTCTTATAGTTAGTATATTCAATATACAAGGAAGGAATGCCTACTCTTAACTGATTTTCGTGGTGTCACCTGACCACGTTTCACTCGCCTAGACAAGCCCTGTTGTGTTGGAGGGTTCCATCAATGAAATGAAGCTGGAATCTCCTACATTGGGAAGCTCGCACTTCATTGTCGCTTGTCCTTTTAATGTATTGGAGACATTGATGTCATAGTAACAAACATGATGCCTGACTTTGACAGAGCAGATACTACTGCTTCGATGCAAGGTATTTTCTGCTGTCCTTTACAAAAACATTCCATGTTTTTCCCTTCTCTCCTTCTGAAAAGGGAATTTTCGGATTAAGCAGGGTGTGAAGTACTGTTGATCCTTCGCGGGTTGTTCGGTGAGCCGCATGACGAACTACAAGGGTGCAGCGACATCAATTCAACAAACGGGATTGCTTGTGCCCCCTCAACAAAAATCGAGACCCTACTCTTTGTGAAAAAAGAGGCAGCTCGCAAACACACAGAAGCAAGAAGAGAGAAAAGCCTTTCGTATGAACATCTGACCCGCGCAAGCAAAACATCCAGAGGTGAAATCCAGGGTGCAAGCAAGTAGTGAGCACATTTGTTGCGCTTTGTAGTCAAGGTGATCTTTTTTGTTGCAGCAGTGTCTGTTTGGGATTCAATGAAGAAGCACAGATAATAAAAATGAAACACATTAGTCATCTCAGTTTAGATTCCATGCCACGATCGCTTCTAATGTCGCAATTTTCTAAGCTTGCCCCATCTGCTATCGTTTCCGCCCGCATAAGTTCTGGCGAGCGCCACCACCTGCTGAAGCGGTTGCAGCAATGTAGTGACTTTATTGCGTGATTAAAATACTAAATCATTTAATATGGAATGCGCTTGATCCAGATACTGTAGCACAGCCAACACTTCAAAAATTTCTAGAAAGCGTTGAAAAACTCATGTCTGTGCTCCCAAGTTCCAGGTGTTAACCTAATTGCGTTCGGGAGAAAGCATCCACACTCTAACATTTTATTTTATTTTCTTCATCATTTGGTTCAAGGCAACTATGCCTGTATGATGTATACATTACTTATTATCATGATCGCGCGTTTCTTATGTACTCTTCTTGTATTGCCACTATATTGCCTTGCTTGTATAATGTTTGTATCCTTTCCACTCCTGTAATAACCCTCAAGGAGGGTTGACAGTATTTTGTAAAATAAAAAATATCGACGTTTAGACATACGCCTAAAATTATTCCCAGCAACCCGTCTTCACAAATACTGAATGAAAAATAAATGCTTCAGAAGTATTGGACAATCCTTCTAAGGTTCATAAGGGAGTCAGGCAAGGTTGTCGCATTCCATTAATCTCATATAGTTTGTATGCGGAATGCTTGCTTGGAAAGTGTGACCTTGAAAATTAGAACTGAAGAGTGAAAATTGAAAGAATAGTGGTAGCGAGCTTACAAATCAGGCACTGCATTAGTAGCAAGAAACCAGAAGGATTTAAAGACACTCATTACGAAGGCTTTGTATAAATTCTAAAGTTGTTCCTAGAGAACCTGTATTTTGTACTGCATATTTCTTTCAACTGTGTTCAGAAAGGATTGAAGAAGGCAAATGGAATTTTATTTATCCATTGTAAAAACTCAGATGTCGTCCCAACTCTACGAAAGTAGCTTGACCATATTTTTCTGTCAAGTTAGAAGTAAGTGAAAGCATAAGAAGTTGATGTCACCATTCTCGCGTGGCCCACGTACTACAAAAAGCCTCTGTTAAGTAGGTCTTGAGTAACGAGATGTGATGCAAAAATGTGTGATGTTACTTTAAGATTCTCATTTCCCAGAAAAACAGTTTTTGGCTTACCAATGTGAGAAAAGTGTAACTTTCTCTACATACGTAATGACTGCAGTTTTAGCATCCAGCTCCTACATTTAATAGTCATAGTAGTTCATAATAGTACGAGTTGTAAGTTTGTGCTCTGTCCTGGTTCTTCTGTTTCTTTCTTGTCAATTTTGTGCTGTTTCTTTACTATGAAAGTGTACCGACTCGTCCAAGCTTTAATCTTGGCAATCCTGTATTTAAGAAAAGCAGGTTTTTCATGTTCATAACGTACAAGTCGCTACTTGGGACCAGCTTGGAAAAGTGGTTATGTCCCTGAATGCAAGTCGAAAGATCAAATTGTGCACCGGGGGAATGTGATAAAAGGAGCTTGAAACAATGCCCCGAAAGATGGCAAAAAAAAAAAAAAAGATTTGCAAGTAAATGTACTGGCACAGCATCCACTGATACAAATATAAAAAATGACAACCAATGTTAAAAAGCAAGTCATCAAAGTGCAGTTTTTTTTTTCATTGTCCATCAACGTGTAAAGCCTCAATGTTGTATGAAATTATTTACGATCCACATGTTCGTGTCTGAATTCTCATTTTTATAATGTATGCCTCGATCGCCTGTGGCCTCTCTATATAAAAAAAGAAATGTAGACAGCTATCAGTCATGTTGCACGATGCCTAGTTTTTGTGCCTTGCCGGATAATTGACATCTGCGTTCTATTGACCTGCTGTTCACATTGCCCTGCAGGTACCTTACTGTTCATTTGTGTATAGTGGATGCTTTCCTCACGGAAATTCAATTGCTTGCCAGTGTTCCTGTTTACTGTCCTTCATTCTGTGTGTGCTGCTTCAAGTCTAGCGCTGTGTCTCTTAGCTCTCTTCAGATCTCGGGAGGATATATCCATCGTGTATCAAGGTGCTTTAGAAGTGAAGTCTCTTGAAGTGTACGAATCGTTAAGACGTTTTGGCATGGGTCTGAACTAACCAATAACCTATGCACTGTATGTTTTTGAAGGAACATGCGTAATTTGACTGTATGATTTGTTTTAAACATAAAGATCAAGTAATGACACCTCCATAATATATTACTACAGCCTCTACAGCATCTGTGCAATGCTTTATTAATACTCAGCCCAACTAAAAAAGCAGTATTTCCTAGGCTGTTGGCACTGACAGAACTTGGATGTGTTGTACATGTTTTCTGTAAACTCTGCTTCTCTTGCGTGTTTTCCTTTTGTTTTTTATTTATTTATTATTATTTTTCTAATGTGGAAGCCTCGGGTTGCTCATAAGAGTGAAACTTGACAGCTTTATTCTGTGCACAACTGGCGACCGAACACATGGTACCAAAGATATCACAAGACCCATGCGGCGTGGACAGCTAGTCAACTAATGCTGCCACCTTTGTTTTTTCTGGCAAACCATTTGCAATGTTCTGCTGTTTGTTTTAGCAAGATAACGTTGTTACACGCTGCATGGGAATGTCTCAGCAGTCAATTGGAGTACCGGCATATAAGTTGCCCATAGCTTTTGCATATTATAATGTTCCCTTAGGCAGCCGCGTAAGGAACCCCTACAATTTTATTTTTTCAGCTTACAATCTCTGTCAGAAGACTGGGCGATGGCACTGCTTTCATCGCTGCTGTCCACACCGTGGCAGTATTATGTGTCCTTCCTGCTCACATCCCCAGTGGCGCTCCTCGTAGTGTCGAAGCTGTGGCGCCGATACCGGGCTCAACACGCCTGTCTGCGGCACCGACACTTTGTCATCACCGGTGGCTCCAGCGGTATCGGCCGTGCGCTCGCCCGAGCTGCTGTACGAAGAGGTGCTAATGTGACAATAGTAAGTTGCTTCCCTGTAACGTTATCAGAGGCACACATGCAAATGTTGGCATTGTGTGGTTTATAAGTGACTTGAATGCAGAAACAAGTAAACTAGAAGAAAATAGCAAAAATAAATGCAAAGTTGCTTAATATGTACTGGTGGAGTTGTTGGCGAGTATGACTTTTTATGAGGCAGAGCACAAAAGGGCACAATCACACACACAAATCATAACACGATTCATGTCCTACGTGTAGTCTTAACAGAATGATCTCAAACAATCACAATGCTTCTCAAACATTGAAGTGCAGTCTGTGGTGAGCATTGCTAATAGTTTAAGCGGGTGAAATCAAAATAATGCGCATGTCGTACCAATTTTATGTGTGCATGACTGTGTTCTTTTGTGCGCTGCCTCTTAAAAAAAATGTAAACATTGCTTGGGTAGCATGCCACAGGTGGCACCTTGCCAAGCTCTTTTCTTGCACTGGAGGGCATCTGAGATCTGCTGTCCCAGATTTGCCTTTCATTACCTTTTTTCAATTATTTTATTCTAATGGCCGATGATTGTTTTACAACACAGTGATTAGTGGCTGTTGACACAGCTTGCATCGCCGTATTACCTATTGTTGATACATCATGCTGTCACGTAGTCAGGACAATGATAAGGACGGCACTCGGTTTATTAAAGATGAAAGTCGTTAATTTTTGGGAAACCGTGCCAGGAAAATGAAAAGTCAGGGTGCGAGTAATTTAAGCTGTGTGCTTATAGCAGCAAGAACTGTTGTCGGCCATCAAGTAATCTGCCGGGTGGCCAAGCAGTTGGCTTTTATACACGTGATATTGAAGACTTCAGCGTTGTCGCTGGTCGTTGCGTAAACTGTGGAAGAAACTAGACAATTCAAGTCCTGCGTGTAGTCTTAACATAATGATCTCAAACAATCATGATGCTTCTCCAATATTGAAGTGCAGTCTTTGGTGACCATTGCTAACAGTCTTTGCGGGTGAAATCGAAATAACACACATGTCGCAGCAATACTGAGCGCATGCCCAAGTAAAAAAACGCAAGGCCTGCGCGGAAGGCATAGCACAGTCACAAGGAAAGCTAAAAGAGCGGCCTTTAAGATCCTTTTCAAAACACTCATTGGGTAGCTACTGCAAGCACACTTGCTTGGTACCCACTAGGTGAATAATGAGAAATTTTTTGGGTAGTAGGCCGGCATTCGCTATGCTATAATTTGTAATTCTTTTGAGAAGCATGGTATCCGGTAAACATTTGCAAAGAATTTCGCGCCGATTGTTCATGCGGTGGCTGATGACAATGAGGAATTAAGGCTGAAGTGGGTATGCGCCACAGTTAATAGGAGAGCAAGAACAAGCTTTTGTAATAGGTTGGAGCATTGGACGGCCCACTCGTTACGCTATTCGCATTGTGCGACGACTGGTTCTTCTTTCGCTGTTTTAAAACGCTTTATAAGTAATATTAACGTGATTGCTTTCCCGACATCAAGCCTGCCTAAGGCAAGTTTTCCAACAAGTCACAAGCACCAGCATAGCTCAGTGTTAGAATACTGGGCTGGCACCCAGCGGACCCGGTTCGAGCCACACTGTGTCATTGGTGCTAGGTTTTTTTTTTTTTTTTTTAATTTTGCGCGATGTGGTTACGGACACAGGTGGCAGCGGACAAATGCGCGTGACCCGAGTTGTGATCTCATAACAGCTCTCACTGTAAAAGTACTGCGCAGTTTCTTTACCAGCTTCACTTTACTGATATGTTTTACTGATATGCTTCAGTTGCAAACAAGGAAATGGCATTTCATTTTTGTAATTAACAGAATAAATTAGACCCATAATTGGGGCTATGATATCACTTTTTTTTTTCTTTAACATTGGAGGTTTTTTTCTTTAAGTATCTCTAGGTGGAAATTTGGCATTTATTGTAGTTTATTGCTCTAAAGTATCTAATCTCCTCATTACCTTATTCTCAACACTTCATTATCTCAGCATCTTCTTCTCAATAATCCGATATCAGGAATGATACCTGAACCTCAAAACATCAAAACACACTAACCGTATTTTAGTTTTCTGGAAGGTTTGAATTCACAAACATTTATACACATGAGCACAAATGTTTGAATACATATTACCTAGATTACTGCGTATCACAACATGCTAGCATACTTAGGTCCATATATTTGACATTGCCTGGCGCGTCCCAGCGCCACCAGGGGACCATATATTAGGACAACGTCTTGCGCTCCTAGGGGCCCTTGCTCTATGCGCTACAAGTCATTAGGTAAATGTGCTATGGGTACAATATAATAGATACTGTGGCAATGACGTACAGTTTATATATGTATCAGTGACTGCTTGAAGCATGCCCTTTCTAGAAATAATCGAACAGGGTCAAACTGGCTATTACAAAGTTCATCGAATTGATCTGAATAGTCAAAAATTTGACCGGCGAGTGTTTATCAAGCTTTTCTGGACTCATACAAAATCTTAGAGCTACGCCCATAATATATAAAGCTAACATTACACCACATATTGTCTAGATGTGTCAATATGTCGTACATAATGACTGTTTTAAATGTAAATATGAGCAGTGCATTCGGAGTGGAGTAAATGCAGCTGGGAAAATTTATGAGTCTCTATCATCATGGCATGGTTACTAAGCATGGTTACTGTCTTTAACATTTGCTTCATGTATTATCAACAACGTACAGTTCACAGTTAAGCTTGCACCTAAGTACTATGCATGGTACTATTTCTTGCTGGCCAACATACGTAGTAGTCTGAAACATTGCTTTATCATTGACAGCATCACATGCTGGTTCTGAAGCAGCACTTGTGTAGTATAGTTGAGCCTCTTCGTAAGAGATGCATATCGGGGAGCAAGTCCTGTCACTTATACAAGAGGTCGTTTGAATCCAAAGGTTAATTTCGGGCCAAAGTCATGACCACACTAAAGGTGAAGAAACACATAGCCAGGGCCTTTCTCGAATTTCAGTGTGGTTGTGATTGTCGCGTGAAATTGACTATTGAATTCAGACATGCACCAACTAGCCCAACAGTGAGTACTGCTAGAGAGGTCCTTTGTTAGCAGGGCAAAGCATTATCGTTTTCTTTGCAATCGCTGTTCGGATATAAACACACTGGTGTCTCTCATATCAGTGTTTCTTGTGCAAGGGTTCAACCTTATTGCACGTTACGGGTGTTTCAGGAGTGTTCACGTTCAGATGATAGGCTCGCGGAGGTCTCAATTAGAAGGTGGGGTTTGTGTAGATTGCACGAAACCTGGACCGTCTCGAGGAGGCAAAGCTTGAGCTGCTCGAAGAAGCAAGCTCACCCGAGCAGGCCGTTCACACGCTGTCGGCTGACCTGGCGAAGGGCAACACTAGCGAGGCAGTGCTCGCCAGGGGCATCGAAGAGGCCGAGCAGGTCTGCGGACCCGTGGACTACCTTGTGAACTGCGCCGGCTCCGCGATCAGCTTGCGTTTCGATGAGACACCACTGATCGAGTTTCGGCGCATGATGGAGGTGAGTGCCCTGAGAGCTGTCTTCACTTCAACCTGCCACGAACAATTTACATTTACAAAACCAACAGCTGGGCGAGCCAGTGTGTCATTAAAGGCCTGCTATATTAACTTTCCAGGCAATTGTTCTTTAAGTACAGGGATGCACTTAGTACACCGCAAACACAGCGCAGGTTAACAACTGTTTTATTTCCAGACGTTTTGTTCACATATATACACAAGGATGGCACCGCAAAAACCCTGAAGCAAGATAAAATCCGACTGGGCATGTGGCGGTAAAAGTTAAACCGTTTTATAAAATGACTTTCTTTTGAAAAAAGATTCATGGTTGGTACAATTGTTGGCTCATGTGGCGATCGATATCAATGACAGACATATTTTTTCTTTTTTGCGAGCTTTTTGTGGTGTTGCTGCTCATCTTTCAAAAGTTTTCTTTTTCTTGAAGGCCCCTATCAGACGTACGGGCAATGTTCTACTGACCGAGCTGCACGGATTTATGTTACGCTTTACATCTACACAATCTGAAACTCCTTTTTTTTTAGCAATTTCAAATTTTTATGATAGATTGATATGTGGGGTTTAACGTCCCAAAACCATCATATGGTTATGAGAGACATCATATGATTATGAGAGTTGAGGGCTCCGGAAATTACTACCACCCGAGGTTGTTTACCTGCACCCAAATCTGAGCACACTGGCCTAGAGCATTTTCACCACCATCGAAAGTGCAGCCGCCGCAGCAGGGATTCAATCCCGCGGCCTGCAGGTCAGCAGCCAAGTACCTTTGCCACTAGACCACGGCGGCGGGGCAATTTCAAATTTTGCAGAGGTTGGAACGTTAGGGGGTAGATCCAGCGGCTAATGCAAAACACACAAGCCCTGAGGATAGCAGTCTCAATGCTTCTTATTGCTTTGTGTTTGCTGTCTAATGTGCAACTATTTATAGTAGAATATTTTTATGCAGGGCCCTACGGGACTGCAAAAATTTGTTCTAACAAGGATTTTGATCGCTGTGCAAGATGTTAGTTGTGTACAGCAAGCAGGTGAAAAACCACAAAAATGGAGGAAACATTTTGTATAGAAACAGCCCCCTTCAGGAATTTCTGCTTACACAGATTCTGCTCTGGATTTTTGTCGCTGTTAGTATGACAACATGGTGATTATCCTTACCAACGCACTGCTACATTGTCAAGCGCTTTAAGAGCAGCAGCTGAGTGGCTGTTGGCCCAATTATGTTAGCCAATTTATGGCAATATTAGGTGAGGAATTGCAAGTAGATAGCGATTTTTTGAGAAAGCAATACATGTTGTACTTGTGTTGTTGGTGTTTCCCTCATTCATGCTTGGCTGTACATTCACGCATCAGATAAGCACCTGAGTTCGCTAAGAAGGCAATAAGCAACCCTACGAAATTCTGTAGAACTTCATTGGGTACGTTCCTGTTTCCCAGTGCCATTGTTTGTGATATGATTACCGAACGAAAACACATTATGCTTTAGTGAGCTTCAAAGGTATTCTTTGTTATAGTAGTAGCACATTTTCTTACAACATTTCTTTATTTTATGCACAATCATCAGCAAGCTTAACTAAAACCCTGTGACACGTGACCTGGACTACTTCGACTGATGCCAGCCTCTAAGTGCTGGGAACTCCTACCGAGATAATACTTCAGTATGCTTGGATAGCATGCCGGCATGCACAGGTAACATTTCGGCAACAGAAACCAAAGCTACGCGGCGCTAGCATCAATCAAACTATTTCAAGGCACGCCATAGAGCATTCTTGTTAGGCTTGCTGACGACTGTACAAGCAAGGTTTTGTTGTAGACTGTTACAAATGTTGATCTGTCTCATTCTATTTCAGTGCACTGAACATGCTTGCTATTCATTCTGCAGGTCAACTACCTGAGTGCGGTGCACACGACCATGGCAGTGCTGCCTGGCATGAAGCAGCGAGGCTCGGGCAGCATCACTTTTGTGTCGTCCATCGTTGGCTTGATGGGCCTGTATGGCTACACGGCCTACTGCCCGTCCAAGTTTGCCCTCGTGGGTCTGGCGCAGTCGCTCCGGATGGAGGCGAGTGCGAGCCTCTGTCTATTAGGGCTAGTTTGCAGTAAAGGTCGACAGTGGGGCTGTTCGATTTTCAGGCCTCTGACAGCTCTCTGGCAGCCAGAGCTAACCAGAGGTAGCCAGAGGTTCAATCAGCTAGTTCCGGTCTGGACAGGAAATAGCGTCGTGGTCACGTGTGTGGAGAACCCGAAGCTGCCCAAAGATCGCAAAATCGAACGCTGGGACAGCCAGCGTAAACATAAACAAACTTTACCACCATGGCAGCAAACAAAACAATGCGCCGCGGGTATGGTGGTTTTTTCTGCATTGTCCGCTTGAAAATACGTAGCTAAGCTCGCCAAAAGCTGAAATAATATTCTCGAGCGTACGCATTTCGGTTACGGTTTCGTACGCTCACACGATCACTTGCCTCGTCCGCGAACGAAACAGCCAGCTGGCGGACGCTGCCTCGAGAACGATGCAAAGTGAGCTGCCGCGATGCTGACGGCTTAACAAGCTCATGTGTCTTTAGTACATGTATCAGTCACTGCACAACACGACGCGATGTCATGCGAAAGTGATCGTGTCCCAAAAAGAGCTCGAGGATATATACCTGCTCAGCTATCATGTATTGTATGTCGCAAACACGCGTTGACCAACTTACGTTTTTGTCTAAAGTTTATGATATGCGCAGGTATCGGTACCACGAGTGCATGTCGTATATAAAAAAAAATATGCATGACAAGTTCTCGACCCATTTTAGAACTTGCCTTGGCCTGTTTTCCAGTCCTAAGTGGCACTTAACGAATGTCATGTATATCAGCTTTGATCCTAAGTGGCACTTAACGAATGTCATGTATATCAGCTTTGATTTGACCTACTAGGTCATAGAACATACTGCGCGGCATTATTACGAAGAGGTGAAAAAAGACAAAGCCAACCATGAAATGGGCCACGAAAGGATGTATACATTTCTGAATCCATTCCTTTTTTCTTTCTCGCGCCGTATCGTATAATATCATACCACATATGCTGGCCTATAGATCGAAGTGGGTTTGCACGCCGTTCGCGACCAGCGAGCATCAGCAACAGTCGCGATTTAGGGCCTCTTGTCACCATCGAAGATCAATCGAGTAGTCAGGACAGAGGTTCTCAGAGGTTCAAACATACGACGGAATGAGCTAGTTCGATCACAATCGTCTTTGCTAAGTGCACAGAAAGCAGGCACAGCTCCACAAACGACTACTACGGAAAAAAAAAATTGTGCGTGTAGTACGTCATCATCATCATCAGCAGCCTGACTACGTCCTGACTGGACAAAGGCCTCTCCCATGTTCCCATGTGTAGTACGTACATAACTTTTAAGGCATGTGCACGACGCAGTCAACAGGCAACAACAGTTCATAGCATTGTTCACAGAAGGAAGCGTCACGGGAAGCATAACAAATGCGATGAACGGTAGCTTCACACACTCTCCACCACTCGTAATCGCCTCATCTCGCAAGGCGGAACAGGCTTTAGAAGATAACGCCACGCGTAATGACAAGTGAAGGCGCAGTCCTCAAGTGCCCACATTGCAATCCATCGAGTCTACACAAAGATGGCACCGATCGCGCATCGTACCTTTCGGCGTCTGCTAGCCCGAAACCTGCCCAAAACCTTCCAGAAAGCTTCCACGACTAAATTATCCTGGAAGCATCTGGCGACCCTCGGGCTCCCCGCGGGTCGCCAGAACGTCCAACTCGAGAAAAACGAACGCCGACCGGAAGTGCGCCGCAGGGGGGGGGGGGGGAGCAGCCCAAGGAAAACGAGCGTGCTCTGGCTGGCTCTGGCAGCCCGCGGATAGCCAGAAGTGGAAAATCGAAGAGCCTCAGTAGCACAGCTGGTGAACATTCACAACCGACAGCCGGGAAGCGATTGCCGGCCAGCGACATTCACACCAATGACTGGTGCAGACTGCCTCGTTCTGAAATGCATCACATTAGGTGCTACTACTTCATCTCAATGACACAAGTTGAGAAGAACCACAAGGGGGGACACACATGTGGCAATAGTGGCCATTTTGTTTTCATTAGTATACACTCAAACCTCGATATAACGAACATGGATATAAAGAATTATCGGTTGTAATGAAGTAAATGAAAAAAGAGTTGCAATAGATACAGTGTTATGAATGTATGTTTATAATGAATTTTCAAATATAACAAAATTATTTTTGTATAAGATTAAACTTTGTTAAATGAAGTTTAAATGTATTCTTTATGTTTAATCATAAAAAACTTAGAATATGCTTCAGATAATAATAATAATAATAATAAAATGAGCATCAGTACTGGGTCATGAAAAACATCACTGAGTAGCTAACAGTATACACACAAACATCAGGACAACAAAGAAGTAATTTTGCAGTTCTTAATGCACGTGATGACATCAGCTTTATGGGGCGTTTATCCTAAACTCAATGAAACTATCAAGATGTTCTTCCTACCTTGAGGAATTGAAGGAATGGAATTGAAATGGCCGGCCATTCCTGCAGTGGGAATGAGCCAAGTTTTTTCATTCTGAGGAATTGAAAGGAGTGTAATTGTGGCATGTTCTAGTTCCCCGGAATAGAATTGACACGGAATGAAGGTGCCCGTTCTGCAACACTGGTTTACGCCACCACAACGTCGTCTCATAAAACAAGCACGATTTCTTCTCCTGTGAACCTACTGTTTAAAAGACTTTGCAATAACAGGCACACTGCTGAAAAATCGTGCAGTAAATTTACTGGGTCAATCTAAACTTACTCTAGAGCATGTTGGAAATATAATGCAAAACTGGATAGGATGTGAAAAATAGCAAGAGCTGTCAAAGTGAGAAAAATGATGTAACTTTTACAATACTACAAGTAGCTGGGAGCTGTCATTGCGATTTGTTTGCATATTGGGCAAACTGGCAAAACCTTTTTTTTTTCTAATGGCGCATTTAGTTGGTTGTTTTCGGGCGCTCTGAAAAGTGGCTGCACCTTTGGTTGGTAGAATTCAAGCGCTTGGACTACCTTCAGTTGGTTCTTTCAGAGCGTCAGCCTCTGACTCAGATCACTCCCGTCCGCTCTGACTTCGAAGTGAGAGCGTGGCGTGATCTGACCGGGAAGACAGATCACGTGACACGAGCCAGCCAATCGCGTGGCTGCCTGGAGGAGAACGAGGTGAGGTGCACGAGTGTGCATTTGGGAAGGTGGTATCGCCGGACGCGTAATACTTTATGCATGTGCGTTGCCAATGGCGTTCATGCGCATGTGTGGGGCAAATTCACATTTACTAGGCCATAATGCACCATGTCTATAGTTAACGGCTAGCAAAATGCTGTCATTGCAGCAGCTCGCAGAATGCCTTGTGATTTGCCTTGAAGATAGCAGCTCGGACGAAAACGATCACCAGATTTATGTGCTGATCTTAGAAGGCTTTTGCTATATCCAGGTATGTCAGAGAGAGAGAGAAAGAATATAATGAAGGTCAGGCATGTCAGAGATGTCCACTGAACTGATTGGCACCTTTGTTGATGCGACGCAACCATGTTAACCCGGCAGCTTCCCGCGCTGACTGCACTGTGGGGCTACAGGCGCGCTACTCGGCCCCTTAGCTGCTCTAAGTGCTCCGAGATCGCTGATGTATTCGGTTGGTACGCTGCCTATCGCGCTTTGATTGCGAGCTGCCTCTGCATCTGGCTGCTCTGAGCCAGAGGACCAGGGCGGTCAACCGAATACGTCATAAGTGTGACTATTTAGAAATGAAATCGGCAAGACTGCGAGCTAGGTGGATTGGAGCATCATAATTTCAAGTCAGTAGAAAAGTAGCACTTTGGAGAATGATATTGGGCGCTGACTGTGTTCAGCTTGCATCTTCATTTTTTTTTTTGCAAGTTATTTATTGTAATGCCAGAAGCACTGATAGCTGTGTTGTGTAAGCTTTCTAGATATAAACTGCTCGAATGCCTTTTACAGTACCTCAGGTTTACTTGATATACAAACTTAATTCTGGCACAGGTCAAGCATCACGGCATCCACGTGATGGTGGCCTTCCCGCCGGACACAGACACACCTGGCTTTGCAGAGGAGGAGCGCACCAAGCCGACTGAGACCAAGCTCATCTCGGCGATGGTCGGCCTGTCGTCAGCCGACGCGGTGGCCACCACCATGCTGCAGGACATTTTGGAGAGCAACACAACCTCAGCCCTGGGACTCGACGGTCAAGTGGCATTGATAATGTGCGCAGGCATGATGCCACCCAGCTCGCTGCTTGAGGTGGCCATGCAGGCTCTCACCATGGGCGCCCTGCGAGTCGTGGGATGCCTTTACCAGTTGCACTTCTACCGGCTCATCGCTCGTTGCGCGGCAAACCGCGAAGATAGCAAGAAGGGAAGCTAACTTGGGGCAGCTGTGAACAGATGGCTTGGTGTGGTTGGGAACATTGCGGCATTTGGGGAAGCTTTACAGCAGCCTTTTGGGGGACTTTCACAATGATTCATTTGTTACACATTTAGGATTTGTCTGTGACGCACACTGAAGCATAGAGCTCCTCCAAATGGATTTGCAAGCCGAGATTGACCCGACATAGTTGTGGCACGTTAGAATTCCGATGGTGACGCATTTGTGGCACTGCGCGACTTGTGACGGTCCGCTACTCTAGATGGTTGACAATTGTCATTTACAAGGCATGGTAGAACATTTACCCCATGAATTCACAAAATGGGCAAGTACCACCAGGAAACTCGTCGCACTTCTTGTTGGGGGATGGTCACTTACATGCGAGGGTACACATTTGTATTCAGCGTGGATAATCTAGAATGGATGGTTGGCGCTAAAAAGGTCATACTTTTTGCATCTCTGGTGCTAGTACTTTGAGGCTTGTGACGGTCACGGATGTCTCCCAAGTGAAAGGGTGAAACTACCTCCTTATGAGCTTGTAAAGTGTTCCTCGTTTGTTGTGGATTTGATAGGGGGTTCTAAAGGAATCGTTTTGGTACAAATTAGATGTGTGCATGGTCTTTGATTGTTTGAGGCTTCTCGGTCTTCTGTTCACAATGGCATAAAGTGGCCACTTATTTTGTGTTTCACTAAACAGAATGGTCATAGAATGTGAAAGACAAGGTTATACACCACGACAGCGTAATTTGTACTTGTTAACTAGTCATGATTATTAGCTATTGCCAAATGTTAAACATCAAGTTTTGAAAATTTCAACAATTGCAATCTTGCCAAAGGCTCTTGTAGAGAACTGTGCCCACTGTTGGAAAATTGGGAAATCACTCCGACGAAGCTAATGATTAGCCAGTTTTGAAGCTTTAGGGAAAAGTTTTGTTAAAGGCTAAAAAGATGAGAACGCACACATTGCATGACAAGTCGGATGTTAATTTTTGTTGAAAAAAATAGGGACATATTGTCATCTTTGTTATTTTTTGTGTGTGTGTTTCTTGCTGCTGCACTTAGCCAGTACTTTAGTTTCTCATAATCAATCCTAATTGGCATATTTGCTAGCAGTTAGCTGGGTTAACTACTAGTAATTGTTTGTTCACCCTATGGTTAAGTATGACTTGTAAATAGCTAAGGCTTTGAGAGGGGTTTTGTAGAGCCACATGTTTTGTACAAAAGGCAACAGGTTAAAAGCAAGTTGCAGACATAACAGCAAAGTCTTCATTCAGCTTAACCTAGACCTACAGTCCTAGCTTTGCACATTTTCGCTGGTTTCCACAACGCACACAACGTGACTCAATTTCTATTTTAGCATGTGTACCTAGACAGGTGAACTGCTGGTTAACATCACCCCTATTTTTTCCACAACTAGGCTACCTCTTGGCATGTGTCGATTCTCGGTCACAATATGCCTCACTATATCTCTCTATGGTTTACATTCCCAATTTTTGTGCAGGCCAAAGTAGAAACTTTCATGTCCTGAAGCTTTACTCTGTTTGCATGTTAAGCGTTTAATACACAAGTTATGTGCAGGTATATTGCCGTGTGTCTATTGATAGCGTTAGTAATTGCAAAATAATGCCTTTGGGCCCACTTCCAACATTCATAGAAAATGTCTCTCTTTTTCAGCCAATGGGGGGGGGGGGGGGAGAGGGGCTCTGGTGAATAAGAAAAATTTAAACTCTGGTGAATAAGTCTGTTACCTAATAAAAATTTAAACATCTCCAAACTGTTGGGAACAGGTGTTCATTTTTTTTTTTAAGGTTCTGTTTTTTTCTTTGGCTCTGATCCGTTCAGTTCCAAGGTTGGTGTTTCTGAATCTCTCCTGTTCAATATCGTTTAGTCCTTCCCAGCACTGAAAATTGCTGAAACGCACAAAATAAAAAATAGAGATTTCATCGAAATGAGGCATGGTGAATTACTTTCCATGCAAATTACAGAGTTCCTATGGACAAAATGAGCATGACATCTCAATATTGCGGCATGGCATCACAATTAGGGCAGATAAAAAAGAAAAATGACACCTAGTCTATACTTGGATACAAACTGAAGAAAAAAAGTTACCATTGGATTAGCTTGGCTATGCCAGGATATACTAGCGTGAGCTATGGATAGACAGAATCAGATGGACGCACTATCAAGCAAGCTTGCGCGAGTCGAGTGCCAGCCCATTAGTGACGCGTCACTCCTGGAGCTTTCGGGCCTTCTCCGGCGCTGCAGCTGTGCACAGTGTGAGGTAGCTGTTCTTCGGGAATCTGCGGCACAGCTCTCGATAAGCCACCCGAAACATCTCAACCTCGAACAGTGCAGCTTATGCTACAAAGCCTGCTATTCACCATCAAAGGACCCTCTTCCATGCAACAGTGTCGCGGTGTCATTGCAATCCTATGGCAGACCACCTTCGCCTCGTGTCCACGAGAAGAATCGCAAACCAGTGTGCCAAAGGGTGTCTCAAAGCGTCCGCAACACCATTGGCTGGAGAGGAGTCCTTTGACAACGAAGTCATTTTTCTTGGGTTTTATCGAGTATATAGTAGGCTTGTGCGAATTTTCGAACGAATAATGCAGTATTCCAACTCTCTTCCAATCGAACTTTAGTTATTGAAAATTTCAAATTATTTGGAATGAATGACTAAATGCATACTTGTCTGCAGTAAATGTCCTGGTCCCTGTTATCGTTCTTGTCCTCGTGCGTGTGCACTAAAACTTCAGTATCCATATTTGTTTGCGTGCGACGTCCTGTAAAGGTGGTTCTACTGCAGTGGAGCCGTGAAAACACGTATTTATAAAAAATCTGCACTGCAGTGAAGCCCACTTGTTAATTAAAGATATTACTTGTACATTGATTATTTTTTTTCCTATTTAGAAGCTCGTTATACTGACTTACATGCTTTAATACAGCAAAGTTTAAAATGTAACATATTTTACAAGCCGTCACTAGCAATGTACTGAAAGTCAAATTCTGCTACAATTCGATGTTGTTTCCACTTTCTTTGCAAAAAGGAAAAAAAGGCGTTTGCACGGTCCTTGTTTTCATTTTTAAAAGATATCGTGCAGATTAGTCTGGTCATGTCAAGTATGCCTTTTCTTTATCATATGCAATATATATACTATTAGATTTGAAATTATTCAACCAAAATAACTATTTCCTTCAATTTCGCTTCAAACCTAAAATTCGCTACTCGCACAAGCCTAGTATATACTTATAGTGCACACAATCTCGGTAGGGAAGTTGGCCAAAGTTACTCTTCGGGAAGTGCTGTTCAAGGCAGTGAAGAGTAGACGCCTAAAACTCAACTGGTTGCCCTTTTGACTGTGTTGTTTTCAGACATGCCGGCTGCTCATAAACCTGAAAAAATTTGAAGCCCATTTATATTTATTGTTCCTTGTACGTCAATGTTTATTCTAGCCTCAGAATTTTCACCTCATAATCGTTTCTAGAAAATTAAATATAGGTTTATACATAGGAAAGAGCTATTTCTATTTTCAAGAGACAGCTTAGATTGTTGGCATGCACCTCAAAGTGCGATTTTTCGGTTGAAAATTGCATGCTGAATACGTGACAACTCGTCTAAGTTAATGTTGAGCAAGCACGCAACCCAGCGAATACTTTAAGGATGCTCTGCTGTAAGAGAATGTTGCTGCTGTTGAGCCACCAAACAAGTAACAAGCCTGCAAATACAACCATGACTGTACAGCAAAGGGTGAAGTATAGAAGCTTGTGCTGTTTGGTGTATAATTTATGGGAAAACATTATGAGAGGACAGACGAAATTGTAAGCTGGCAAGTGCCATTTTTTATTAATAAGATTCTGAGTGAATGCACATATGCGGTACAAGAAAAACCAAGTGTTTGGGGGGGGGGGGGGGGGTGCGCTACATATATATGAATGGACGCCAAGGCACATGAACTTAGGCGCCCCGTTTTGGTGTTTTGTAGTCCATTACAGCGCAACAGGTTTAATTAAAATTTTTGCACAAAGTCTTAAATCGGTTTACCTTAAAGTGACAAGTCAAATAACAATTTATGTCAGAGTGAAAGCTCAATGTATGACAAAATCTAAAACGACAATATTATCAACAACACTGCCCTACTTACCGAGAAATTATTGTACATGCACAAGAACACAAGCGCCGCAGTAGGACATTTTCAAAATAATCCGATAACATCAGACGGACCGCCTGCAATTAATCACTAGTAATCGATCTAACTGCACTAAATAAGGAACCTTTTATGCATCAAGAAACGCAATAAAATGCAGCTTGTTCGTTTCTGTTTGATGCATGAAAAAAAGAACTGCCGAATGAAGCCAATGGCAAGAAATTGATCAATGGCCGTTGTTGCTGCTGTGGCTCCCGCTGCTTTCGGTCTGCTGCTACTAGCGCAGTAAAGCCGGGCAACGTTGTGCACGACAACAGTGACGTGAGACGGTCCAGTCTGTCCGCTTCTTGAGGCGGGTAATTTGAAGTGTGCTAACCCGACGTGGAGCACTAAGACGTGATTTTATTTCAAAATAGGCCCTTCCTTGGCACGAAAGTAACACTACGAGGTTTCTGGACCGCCATTCAACAATCAACGTAGACTTAATTTCAACAATCAACGTAGACTTAATAGTTGGCTTTGGTATCCCTTTAATGCAGAATGCCTTCTTCCAAAAAAGCTGGCTTTTGGGACTTTTATGAGCATATTTTAACCAGCTGTGCAGGGTCTGGCAATTGCTATATTTACACAATAGCGCGGATAAACAATTCATAGTTTCCAAGTCACGGCAGTTTCAACGAGCAGTAATACATCACACCACAGACACTTCTCTGCAACATCATTGTGCATAGCACACTTTGTTGGCAGTGAGCAACATTTTTTGGCTGTGCTGGCAGCTGTGACCAACCACGAATCAAGCATACAATAATAAACCTTTCGAGAAGAGCTGGCACTCATCTGGCAGTGCTCGACACTCCCGATTTGCAAGTCTCTATTTCAGTGATACGCAGAGCACCATACAAGTTTCCTCGTCAGTTTCACGCAAGAGATGCCACAACACAAGAGTGCGAGATAACCATCCTTATGCTCGCAATTTGTTGAAATAGAAATGTTCAAACTGACCCCAACAGCTAACACGAAATCAAACAACATGCAGAGTTAATTCTTTCAAAACTGGTAAAAAAAAATGTGTTTAGTGCATTTAGCTTAAAATTTGGCTTGTCGGACTATAAATCACACATCTAGGCAAACAACTAGATTTTCCAGCTCGTGCAACAAAAATGCTCCAAACGTAATCGCAGAGCTGGCATGCTTGACTCTTTCATTAGGCATTGCTGGGTTGATCTGGCTTCTAAAGACAACCTTGTGACTAAAGCTTTTCTATGACTTTAGCCCATGTTAAAAATGACAAGATTGAGCAGGCAAAAATGTGCATGTCAGACGAGACATTATGTAAAATAAATGGCCCAAGAATTTCAAAATAAAGCCGCAAGAATTCAACGAATAAATGACAAATTTTACATGCTGCTGGACAAAAATATAGAAGAGATGTACCAGTAATACGAGGCATATAATACACATTGTTGTCCCATTAACCTTGACAGAATGAGCACATTTGAAATGACTGTGCAATATCTGGGGTTATGTAAAACAGCTGTAACTTCCCGCAACTGTACAAACACCACCTATAAAAGGCAACTTCTAGGGAATGACATCGCATAACTGACCAGTCTAGAATACTTCAGGAAATTGCTCATCCTAGAAAAGATTAAAAACTAAACAATAATCACGATGTGATGTGGATCACATGTTTTTGCATCAAACAAGCTACAATGAATGTTACAGAGGTAATGGAACAACTGAAACAGAATGGTATTCTTGGGCAGTCACTTTTGGCGATGCCTCCACCTCAGCAAGATACCCTGAGATCAGTGCCTGGTGTGTTGGAAGCTACAGGTGACATTTTTAGCACGGTTTTAGCACACTTGGAAACATTCCAGGCAGCTCATAGCTGACAAACAGGTTTGGTGTTAGTCTTGTGCCGAGTGAAAGTGAAAATGTCATCAAAGGTGATTGGCTGAGAATACCAGCAAAGAAAACAGTACTCCAAGTGGTTTCTGTTTGCAGAGTGTTTTATTTGCAACTTTTACGGAGCATCACGCTTGCAACCTCTGGATCCAGAAGCGGAAAGTCCGGCGGCGTTTTAGTGGCCAATGGCGAGTGTGAACACTGCACGAGAAAGTCTCGACTGTATACTCTGCAGTTCGGTGACAAAGTATGCTTGGGAACTTGGCTTTTATCATCACTGTTTCCCGATTCAGCCAAACTTTCTAGCACTTTGGGCTGCTGCTTCTCTGTTGGCAGTTCGTTTACGCTCGGTGTCTTGACGCCAGTTTGTTTCCGCTGGTTCTGTCCGCTGGTACCACATGTCGTGGCAGTGAAATCATTTGAGAGTGGCTGCCGATTGTTGTCATGAGCCTTGCTCAAAAACTGAGCCGGTCTTCCAAGGCCCTTGGACTGCTTAGGCTGGCTGGGTACATCGATGTTGTCTAAAGCCTTGGTCATTTGCTTATCAGTGGTGTTGAAATGCTGCTTTGAATAGCGCACATTAGAGAGCTGCCTGCTCCTGTTAGTCATGTCACCACTAGCCAAT